CAAAAAGGCAATAAATGTCTGTTCTAAAAAGGGAGCACTTAGCCGCTAGTTGGGCAGCCAACTCCAGATATTAAACCCCATTTTCATGACCTGTTGAGAACTTACAGGTCCCCTAAAATATAGGTTGTTTTGTTTTTTTGCCTACTTAAAAATGTTACAGACTTGTATACACGTCCAGTTAGCTTATACATGACAGAGATCAATCCCTGCAGCTGTTAAATGATTTTTAGAAAAGAAAGCTGTTTATCATCTGTTCCAGAAAAAACAAACTAATATACAAAGAAAGTATTTGGAAGTACTTTTGGTTATATAGTAATTAACATCAGGCTCAATCATCTTCAGTTGAATTACTTCAAACTAAATCTGAAATTAGTTTTTCATCAATATTTCTGTAGAGATCTTTTCTATATGTTTTTCTAAGTCATTTCAGCTATCCCTGTGTAAGATCTTACCTTTAAATTGCCAGCTCTTTCAACTGTTTGGGTGAATGAATAAACCTATATAACATGTCAAAACAACCTTTGCATTGTAAATATATATTTGCAAAGGCAAATATATTTTTTATCACATTTTCCAGCAGTCAGTGAGCATGAACTCTTCTTGGATAGGTACCCTTTTCGTATAGGCTGTTCAGAAGAAATGGGACATGGTTCAAAAGAAGTTTGAATATATAAAGATAAAGGGAAAATAAATTACTGTTAAGCTTCTTGGGTTCTACTTAGTTTGATTGTCCACTGAAAATACCTTCACTCACTGATAATTTGAAGTCAATCTGTGGAATCACAGTCTTCATCTGTAAACTTTTCAGTTGGCATGCTGGGTATCTAAACAGGTGTGGAAGGGAAAATCTTTACCTTATCATATTCTCTCCACGTGTCATGGTGATGGCCAAAACAGGAGAGGAGAGGAGAGGTTAGATAAAGAATAATTTTAAAACTTGGTAAGTGGAATCCAGTTTCAAAAACTTCTCATTAAAAATGTACAATGCAAAATCTTAGAAATAAAGCAAATAAAAATACAATTTGTAGTATGACAAAATAGGATTCGTTATCTCATTTTAATTCCACTTTATAATTCAAACATGGCATAAAGTTCTTAATAGCTGACTCTTATAATAATGTTTGGAAATGTCCAAAAGAGAGTTGTAGGAGATGTAGTGTGCAGCACAGAACAGATAAAAGAAAGATAGTTTTCTTTTCTTCTGATCTAGTTGATGATTCATAAATAGCAGAACACACCAGAACATTGCATAGTTTCTATTAGATATGTTTTTGTCTTCTTTGCAACAAGAAACATTAAAATATCATTGAAGTTGATGAACCATGAACCTGCTGTCTTTGCAGTACATTGCAGTATCCTGTAAGACAATGAGGAGCCTTGTGAGAATTCAGCACAGTCCCTCTCACCATATTATCTTATGCTAATCTGAACAGCATTCCTAGCACTCTGACACCTCTTATATGATTGAATTTAGAATTGTTCCCTCAGAGTGAGGATTCAAATTGGCAACAGGTCTTTCAGGTTGCTACTTAAGAAGAGCTGTGATTAGAGTCCTATGCAAGTTGATATCACCTCAAAGAAATCTTTATTATAAAAACAGAAAAGCAATGAAGCTATTCCATTTTCATCAGAGTTTGGTTGGTTTTGATTCTAGCAACACAAACTCAAATTAAATGGAAATTCTCATTTAAACAACATAAATGTCCTTAGCACAATGTTCATAGCATACTTTTAAGTGCTGCTTCTTGAAAGACTACCGTGGAAGTAGATGAATTTTGAGATAATGGGAGAATGTATGAAGTGTTCAAACAGTCTTTTCTGTTAACCAATAGTATTGATTGTTACTTGGAATAAGGACATTTTCCCATGGAAAGTAATTCACACCCAACAAAAACACCCATCCAAATACAGCTCTGAGCTGGTATTCAGATGGAAGCAAGTGGGAATGTATGACAAATTTTGAGCCAAACCAACATTTTTTAGTCTTCAAAGAAATTGGTATGAAATATACAAATATACAAACGGATCTAAATAGGATTTAGGTTAGGAAAACTAATACTAAATCTGAAAAGCATACAGGCAGTAAGTTTATGTCAAATCACAAAAAGTCCTGTGAGCTATAAAGTAAGCAATTAAGGCACGTTGGGATATTGTGGCGAAATGTTATGCTTCATATAACAAACACAGTGGATTTCAGTATTTAAAAAGTAATCAGTGGGACTCCTGCAAACTGAAACTGTATATTACTGATGTGTTAGTGGTTAACATATGAAAAATGGTGAAGAAGAACTAGATGGTGCAACTGGCATGGATTCTTTGAATAAAAACCAATTTATTTACAAGTCAGAATCACAGAATGGCTGAGGTTGGAAGGGACCTTTGAAGATCATCAAGTCCAATACCTCTGCCAAGCAGGTTCGCCTAGAGCACGTTGCATGGGATGTTATCTGGGCAGGGTTTGAATATCTCCAGAGAAGAAGACTCCACAACCTCAAAGTCCTCAGTTTTCCTCCAGAGTATTATGTTATGATAAGAGTAATATAAATATTGTAGTACTTTGTGATTATTACAAAGAAGTGTGATCTTCTGGTTATTCAGGAAAGGAAAAATTGATTAAGTCACAGAAATTTGGAGGGCAATTATGTGGGTAAATACAAACTGAGAAATAGCACCTTGAATCACATGAAAATTAGATTATATATAATTTGAATTATAGGGGAAAAATTTGGCAGCTATAAAAGCAAAATGAATCACATTGTATAAAAAGTGGCTAGAAGGACTATTGAAATGTTGGTGACCTATTAACTGCAGAGGTGTCTTCCAACCTAAGTAATTCTATGATTCCATGATCAAATGTCAAAGTTGGCCTTGAGCTGAGCAGGAAATTGGACAAGATTGGCCAGTGATTGACATGATTCTGTGATTTAAACTATCAACATAAGAAAAAGACAGATTATTACTTTTTATGGCATGATACATTATTTAACTGATTTCAACTTGCAAGTAGAAGAATTAATATTTTAAGATTTAGAGAATGAGTATCTAAAACTAGTGAAATCTTTGTTTAAGTAGATCATTTTAATCCAACTTTACTGTCTTCAGGACAGCTACAATTTGTATCAATCAGCAAGGCTTCTGAATGTTTTTTAATGTATATGCTTACCTATTAATCCCAGTTTTGTTTATTTACTATATCATTAATCTTGAAGATACGGTAAGATGAGCTCTAGATTTATAATAATCTCACCCATTAGGGATCTTTCTACAAACATTGAACGTTTTGTTTAGAATGCTGCAGAAGCACCAGATTTAGCACTTCCATGGCTTCAGGCTAAATTTATTTATTGCAGCTTTCTGAAGATGTACTGCTGAACTATCATCTATCTAATTATAAACAAACTCAAATGGTCAATATTTTTACGAAGTGTTTTCCTGTAAGTGTGATATAATGCATATTAAAAATATGAATTGCCTTCTTGAATTAAGTATCATCCATACCTGCAGTACATATTCTGTGGGAAATTATTCTAAAAGATGCCTTCATAGTGGTGTTATGCGGCACAATGATGTTTTATTAACATTTATAAAGACAAATTTTCCAAATCTGTTAAAAATAAATTGCAAGTATACCTAACCATTTCAAATAAGGCCCTTATTTAAATAAGTATTTCTCAGAGAATTACTGCTGAATCTTGACTAGTTTTGGTAAGCCCTCTTGTATTAGTGTAATGTCTGGAAAATACGTGACTTAATCATGCAATTGTCTTATTTCTAGGACTGTCACAAATATACTGGAATGACTTTTGGTGCATACAAAAGTTTTGTAACCTTAGTGATATCTAACTGTTCTTAAAATAATGAGGCTCATTATGTTTGCACTGAATTGATTTTGTCAGCCAGTAGGTTTACTTGGTCTTCTGCAGTTAAGTCAGTTAGATTTGCTTATATGTAAAACAGTTTTCTTTCCTGGATGGTGAGCACTTAAGCAGCGAATGAACTATCTTCGCCAGGAACCACTGCAAGAAATTAAAATATTCTTTTAGATGAAATGAACAGAGGAGAAGTTTTATCTGAACATTTAATGTTTCAAAAATGTAATGCATTATATTATGTTGCCATTTGTTGACATTATTTATTTCAGTATATGAAAATGCCTTTGAATTATCAGTTGTGTAGATATTTACATTGGAATAATTTGTAAAAACTAATTTAAAAATGGTTAAGGGCAATCTAGCCTTGAATGACAGTCCCATCTAAAACATCTGTATGTTGTTTTAGTTGGTATTTTAAAGATAACAAATTCTTATCTTTAAGTAAATCACATACTTTTATAGTGCTTGGATATTTCCCTTGATCTGTTTAGTTTGCTACTTACATTCATAGTTTAAGTTCTTCAAGACAAGAATTGTCTTCCTGTCAGTAGAATAGCTAATTCAGTGCTTCTAATGATGTCTGAAATGCTGAGATTTGCTATGTTAAAATGTATTCAAAAAGTTGAAGGTAAGCAAAAAATACTCATAAAAAAACAATAATGCTATATAGTTGTTATTTTTTAAAACAGTTTCTTATGCCTAAAGGTATTTTTGTTGTTGTTGTTGTTGTTTTCCTCCTGAAACTGAATTTAAGCATTTTAAATAACAAGTTATGGCCAAGTAAGCCTTAGCACACATTAATGCTGTAGTCATATATATATGAAACAAAAAGTATGAATATATGAACAGGAGTGCAACTTATATTTTATTTATTACCAGCTGCTAAGAATTCAAAGACCTTCAACACTGTTCTTTTGGGATAGATTGCTAGATACCGTTTATACATAATTCTAGTCTGAAACTGTGTTTCTTTTAATGTTGTTTTTGAAAAAGTAGAGAAAGGTTTTGGTAGTCTTTTTGAAGCTGAAGCCACTGTTTAGCTGATATGTTTGGGATGTTACAAGTCAGTGATAAAGCTTATGAATAAAGTAAACTACATGACTCATCATTGTATGTATTTTAAAACAGGTGAGGCTAATGATAAGGATGTCCAGGTGGTGGAACTTCCCATTGTTGACAGCTTGCACCCACGGCCACCTTATTTACCGTTGGCTATCCCTGAAGACCTGGCTGATAGGCTAATTCGTGTACATGGGGATCCTGCTGTGTGGTGGGTCTCACAGTTTGTCAAATACTTGATTCGTCCACAGCCTTGGTTAGAAAAAGAAATAGAGGAAGCTACAAGGAAGCTTGGTTTCAAACATCCAGTAATTGGGTGGGTATTATTTTCTGTTCAATTGCCTGTACTTTGATATGCATATATAGTTATTCCTGTTCATAAGGAATTGTTTTATGGTGGTTGTCCAAGAGCCTCAAGTATTTTGAGGAGACAGAGGGTCCTTTCTAGATGAAGTAATTGTTTTTTTAATTGTGTGTAATATAAGTTGATCACAAGCATTTCTTCAAAGCATACTTCTAGACCTGTAGTTGGAAAGCATTGTATAAAAGGAGGCTCAATAGAAGGTTTGTTTAAGCGTCCTTTGATATTTAGAAATGTAAAACAGAATTTCATTCATGGAGTTGCCTTACAGTTCGTATTGTAGACACTTTTTCATCTGTGTCTTCTTTTCAAGTGACCATTGCTTTTATAGCAGAGGGAAAAAGGCTAAGTCAATATTTTACATGCCACCATATATGGCAATTAAGTCTTCTTCATTCTTTTCTTTCAGTTATTTCAGTTATCCTTTGCCTTCTTTATAAGATAATTATGTTGCTTCCAAGAGGTGGCTGACAGTGAACTTCATGTTAAAAATTTTCAGATACGTTTCAGATTTTGCAGTTAATAAGGCGTAATTTCTGCTCTTTTCCAGTGTTCATGTTCGAAGGACAGACAAAGTAGGAACAGAAGCAGCATTTCATCCCATTGAAGAATATATGGTGCATGTTGAAGAGCGGTTTGAACTTCTTGCTCGCAGAATGCATGTTGATAAAAAAAGAGTGTATTTGGCTACAGATGACCCTTCATTGTTGCAAGAGGCCAAATCCAAGTAAGATGAATTATGTATATATTACAGTTTGTTCCTGCTGGTTACAATTACAATTTACAGTTTCTGGCTATTGTCAGCACATATCTTGGTATCATTATTTTTCCCATCATTTATACAGTTAAGATTGCATTTCAGCTTCCAGAGTTTCTGATTTTTCTCTTAGAAATTCTTTTTTGGATGATTTTTTTCCCAAGGATGCTTAAATATAAAGCTTAATTCTAGACTTCACCTAGAATGACTATCTAAAAACAACCCAATGGTCTAAAAGGGAAGTAAAAATAAAATAATTTTTTAATATATTAAAGTAAATAATAAACACACCAACATACGTAGAACATATGTATTAAAAAGAAGCTGTTTTGGAATAATGTTACAAACTAGTTTATGTATTGAGAAGTTTCATCTGTCCAAACAATATCTTTCTGTGAACAGTTGGTCTGTGAGTTGGACTCAATCATCCCTGTGGTTCCTTTCCACCTCAGGTTATTTCATGATTCTAGTTTCTAGATAAATTTTTAAAAGGTAGTTCAAAAACTCCTTGAGTCTTTGGAAAGGTTTCTCTCTATTCACTACATGTTAGACATGTTTTTTTCACACTACCCATTGAATAAATGTAAAGTATGTCCTTAAATGTATGTGGGTTTCTTGGTCTGTACAACTGTCTTGGTCCCTTTTTTTGTTCTGTCCTCTTCTATCTCTTTAGAACATGGCTGTAACAACTTGTCCTAGCTATATGACATACCTGTCTATTGTAGCAAATTTAACTTTAAACCTGGAAATGTATACTATGCATCCCAACATGGCCTATATTTCCCTGTACAAACTTATTGTTAAGTTGCGTGTTTTTCCAGGTGTTACTGAGATGGTAAAACTTACCATTTAGTAAAAGAAAGCAGATGCATATGGAAGAATAATGTTCCTTGAGGTGTTCATGGCATATAAACAATTTCACAAATGCTTATTGCCCTGACTGTGGAAACTAGGATAAACTTTAGATCCACTGAGTTTAAACCTATTTGTTACTGAGTACAGATTAACATGTTTTCCCTTTGAGTGCTATTTGTCTGCCTACTGAATAGCACCAATTTCTATTTTCTTTTTGTCTCTTGAGCAAAAGAATATATATGATTTCTTTTTTTTTTCCTTTGAGCAAGGAAACTAAAAATTTTAAAATCAAGATAACTTGAAAATCGCAGGTTTTGAACTGTTTTATTCTTGTTAGACATGCTTGGAAAAAATATTTAAGATAACATATTGGATTATAAAACTTCTTTGGCATATACAAGGTAAGCAGAAAATGTTATTTTGTAATAGATGAATTATCTACCGCATTGCAAACCTGTGTATTTTAGATGTGCTATTTCTGTTTTTCTTTCATTTCTAAAAAGGCGGCTGTTTAAAATTAATGGAGTTTTGAAAAAATTAAATGAACGTGTAAAACTCCACAGATGATGGCATTCTAATCCTTCCTTTTTTGTATATGTAGGAACAAGAACAGCAGCAGAAACAATTATGATAGCATAAAATTTAAAGTACATATCTGAACAATGAAAAGACGGGCAATACAAGGTTGAGGTTGTAGTACTTAGTGAATTACATTTTCCTAAATAATTTTAATTACTTTTTGTAACATAACAAAACTCGATATTGCATTGACAGTCTTAGTTATGCATTTTTTTTGTTGTTCAATATTAAATTGTTAGCACTGTTTAGCTTTGAATAATAATAAGATGCACTACCAGTGCAATCATATTGTCCCAAGCCCTCTGTAGAAACAAAACCTAATATTAGGATTGTGACTTAGTAAAACAGTACTGAATTTTATTAAGTATTTCAGTTTTTATGGCAGTTCAAAGTACATTCTAAATCACATTCTTATTGAAATATGAATAGATGTAGCCTATTAGTACAGCATTTCTTTTGTATTCTTTTAATTAGTCATAGAGTCTGTAAATTGTGAAGAGTTTTCTTTTGTGTGTATTCTTGCTGAGGTTTCATTGCGATGTAGTTTACACCGGAACATAATTTTCCAAGTTTCTTACATGCAACAGCTGTTTGCAATAGAGTGGAAGACATCTGAAACCTCCTGTGATAGAAGGCAGGATCCAGTTTGGTACTTCATCATTTAAGGATATCTGAAGTCAGGTTAAGGTCAAGCTTTGGGAATAATGAACCATTTTTTTCCTTTACTTGGGAAGAAACCTACGAATTAATTGATGTTTGACCAAAAATAAAGAAGTTCTACTCATGTTGCTTTGATCAAAAAAAACTGTCATGCCGTACTTGAATAACTCTTAAGTTGCATTTATTATTTGGTGCAATAATATTGGTAAGTAATAGAAATTTTCTTTACATGAGAGTGATTGACCATCAAACATTGTTGGCATTTAATGAAAATTTAGCTACCATACACATGGATAGGCATTTTCTTTCTATTAAGTATTTCAAAGTATTGATAGTCATGAAAACACTAATATTCTGACTTGCAGCCAGATGTCTGCCCACTGCAAGTACAAATAGTAAAGACAGTGGAGTCAGCAGTATTGGTTTGTAAGACTTTAGTGTTTTTTTTTGTTTTGTTGTTTTTGTTTTTTTTGTGTGTGTGTGTGTGTGTCTCTTGATTTCAAAAATAAAATCCCAAAACACATACACACACAAAAAAAGCAAAACACCGTGACATAGAACATGATTAGAGAGGAGCTGTAATGATTATGGGATTAAACATTCTAAATACTCTGGTAAGCAGAGGTCATGGCATTTCTCATGGATACTGGTATGTTAGGGATGCTGTAAATTGCTTGTTCTTTGGCCGATCTAAAAGTTTTCAAACACAAACTTTTTAATTTTTTATGTCTTTCTAGTCTATATTATTATTGACAGCATCTTCTCTCTTCAAGGTAGTGTGTTCAAAATAGTGCAGCTGAACATGCCTACAAAATAATAAAGAATATTCAATATCTTTCTGGTTTATATACGAAACTGTTTACATCTCCTTCGCATCCAAATAAGCGCTAAAATACAGCAAATTAAATTCTTTTCTTCTGGCTGTTTACCTGTAATGTCATCTGCAATCTGCTTTTCCAGTTTTTGCACTAATTTCTATCTCTAGTGAGTTTTTCCAGCCCTTATGAAAGCTCTGTTTTTCACTGTTTTGCTGCTGCTTTACTTCCAAAATAGCAAGTTAAATGTCTTTTCTCCTTGTATAATATCTGTAGCTTAGCTGTTGCAAGCCCATGCCCCCCTCCCATCATGACCAAGTCGCACTACATCCAGTATGTAGAATTTAGCAATGCTTCAGAGTTCTTATGTTTGTTCAACAGCTTGTACATCTTCCAATTCTTTTTAGGGCAAGACCTGGACAAACACATTCTTTTATCCATCTGTTTACACGCATGCATATGCATACATGCTCACACTGTCTTTTTGGAGGGAAAAAAATGCATTGCCTGTTCTGGATGTATCTTCAGTTGTAGCAATTTGAGAAAAGGACCCCGAGACTTTCCTTGGTTTGCACCTCTTGCACAGTTTAGCAGTAAGCTATATTTACAAAGCTAGTTGACCAGCTTCTGAAACCAATGGGAACATGAAATGCTCTGATAAAACCGCTTGATTTGTATAGTTATCTGAGGCTGGTAGTTGCAGGAAGGAGTGACTTTAAACAATGTCTTTCCCAACCTCCTCTGATATTTATTTTTTTTTCTTAACTAGAAAAAATGTCCTGCCTGGACTGCATATAGCTATCAAGAATCTGTTAGGTAGCTTTAGAAGAATTAGATATGATTTTTAGATATGAAGAAGAGATATACCAACCCAAACTATTTTATGATTTTAAATGTGTATCATTGGCTCACTACCCTCAAATTAAAGAATTTCTTCCTAATATCTGTATCTACCCTTTTTTAGATTAAAATAATTTTTTCTTGTCTTATCACTACGCAACCTGATAAAGGAGTTCTTCTCCAGGGAGGGGAGACTATATTTTGGGAGGGAAACTACATTATGGATGGGATTATTTTGTGCATCCTGCTTTCATTCTGTTGTCAGAAGTACAAGACAGCAGATGATTTTTTTTTTAAACAGGATCAAATATGATACTTTCTTTTTTTTTTTTTTTTTTTCCAAATTCATTATTTGTTAAGTTACTGGACTGACATCTTGCTAGTAAGAAATAGGTTGTTCAAGAAATAAATTTACTGTAGATACATTAATTTTTAGAGCAGGTATTTATCTTGGGAAGGTAAAATTCTATTAAAGTTACTATAAAGATAAATTCAAATTACTCCTCAAATTATTTAATCCTAGATATGGAAGCTTTGCACAAACCTTTTTGATAGCCTTTTGCAATTAATTTCCTGATTTGATAGTCATATAGCTAGTGAATGTTTAGTGGAAAAGCCTACTATATTTACCTGTTCAACTTGTGAAAACAGTTTTCCCGTAGTTTGAGCATGGAAATGGAATAGATCAGGCATATTTGTACCAGAGGCTGTCATAATTATGTCTACCCTGCGTCCAGAGTCTGCGTGTTACACTGTTGTGTATAAATGTGTGTTAACTTCAGTAAGGTTTCAAGAACTCTGTGTGTAAAACTCCTTACTCTGGGGGATGTTCAACACAGTTCTATCAGGCATTGAAAAATCTACTTAGAAGTCTAAGTATGGTTGCTCTAGCACTGGGGCCTGTTCTGTATTCTGATTTTCTCTATTAGACACTTTAATGACGATTAATTCTTACAAATGTAGTATTAGCTACCTTACTATCTTATGTAATATATTGCTTTATAATTGCTATGAAGTGATAAATTTTAAAATTACATCTTATTTAAATTTTTTATAATCAGCCCTGTAGTTGAAACTTGTAGTTGGTAGGTTAGTCATGCAATTTGCACTTCATGATTGAAATAAATTTGTGTAACAGCAGAGTAATTACCATCTTTGTTACATCTTCCTGGAATTTTTCATGTAGAACTTACTTTTGGTGAGAGACTGAGTTAAAATTTAATTAATCCACACTACTTTACTCAGTTTTATTTCAGCTCCTCAGTGAAGAGTGAAAACATTCTGAGAAAGATGACTGTTTTTCAGTGTTTTCAAAAAGGACTTTATTTCTTTCGAAGTCATTGTTACATATTAGAAACTTATTTTACTTTGTAAAAACTTACATATATATATATACACACATATATATTTCAAATAAAAGTATTTTTACTTAAAATATTACTAATTATTTGATATTTCAAGAAATATATTAATATGAAGGTTTACATTTCTTTTATTTCCTTTTGACTAGTAAAGTATAAAATCTGTTCTCTGGACAGCCTTAATAACTATGAAAGACAATTTCCTTTTTGGTTTAGTTTAGATTCATTTATTTAATATGTCCTTTTGGAGGTGACTGATTTTTTTTTTTTTTTTTGCACAGTATTATAATCACTATCTATTAAAAAGTATATGAATCAACAAAAATGTAGTTTAGCAAAGATTGTTCTATACTCCATTTAGTAAAAGAAAAAGCTAAATTATCTCAGTGTATTTTGTGTAAAATCAATACAATTAACAGAATACAGCATACACTTGCTGATGTTTTTACACTTTTTTTTTTTAGATTCATATCTCAGACTTGTCGTGTATTTTCATTTAACTTTCTGATAAATAGAGGGTGTGCACCGAGGCAGCAGTAATATAGTAGAGCGTAAAACACAGACTCACTTAAAACAGATTAACAAGTTTATCTTGCAGCAGTTACAATACTTATTAACAGAACTTATTAACAAAAAAACACTTCTGTTAACAGTGTATTATATTTTCACAGGTATCCAAATTATGAATTTATCAGTGATAACTCCATATCTTGGTCAGCAGGACTTCACAATCGATACACTGAAAACTCCCTAAGAGGTGTTATTCTGGATATCCACTTTTTGTCTCAAGCAGACTTCCTTGTCTGTACATTTTCATCCCAGGTAAACTGCAATAAAAATACAGTATAGATTATATATACCAGTTCTAAATTTTAACTTTCTTCACGCTTCTGTTATCTTGTTCTCAGTGATCTTTTATGAAAATTTCATGGCTGTGTTAGTCTTTTTATACTACGTGAACATCTAGATGATTGTAAGCACTGGTTGATTACTTCTCTTCAATTGGAAGTATTTGCTTTAATAAGGCATTTGAATGAAGTAAAAAATACTTTAAAATGTTTAACACTTCTAAACTTTGCATAAAGTTAATATATAACTTGTATCCATCCATTTCTGTAATTCATGGCACTCTGTTACAACTTAAACACACCTGCTGTTGCCTCAGTTGATAGCTGGAGTGGCAAAGAATGAAGAAAGAAGACATTTAATTTCTTTTCAGTATCTATTACACTACTAGTAATTTGGTGGGAGGACAGTAAATGTGAATTCTAACGACTGCAAGCTATAGAAACTTCTGGTTGCAGATAATTATATGCTGTAAGTTTTTTTGAGTGGTCCAGTGAAGCAAGTTGGAGTCCATTAGAAAACTGCATCATATCATTGTCACTGTTGGCATCTTCTTTATGATGTCATAGCGTATATTAATTTCATATATCATGAAAATATGTTTTTAAAATCTTTTTAAAGTTTTAAAAATATATATAATAATAATAAAAATAAAACACCAAATACCAGAGAAGGCATATGTTCTGTCAAGTATGGTGATACGCCTACTTCAGTTATGGCAAAATATAATTGAAATCAAAGAGTGAACATTTTTAATCTACCTTCATCATATATGCTCCTAGATAGCACTCTGGTTAGGAAAGCATTCTACTGTAGATAGTGATAGATTGTGATTGCATACAATTGTACCATTATTTGAAAGTGGGCACAAAATTGAAAATTAAAAATCACTTCAAAACACAACTTTCTGTAGCCTCAAATGTAAATTGTCTTCTGCGCTGTAATGAAAATCAGGTAATAAACATTATATTAATACTCAGATGTGATCAATAGAGCAATATATCGATCTTGACAGCCGAAATTCTTAATTCCATTACTATGGCAAGAAGAGAGTAAAACCAGAAAAGAAATAGAAAAGCCCCCCTCAGTCACGCTTATGGAGGCATTTTTTTCACTGTTCACCACACCCTGCAAAGAAAATGACTTTTTGTATCATATTTAGAAGGTTACTGACATAAGCTACTTCAGGGCAAGACATGAATAAATTCCAAAGTAAAAATCCTCACTAGGAAAATCCTGTAAGGAACCATCCAATTCTATAAAAATGCTTGATTCAGGTGAAGTATCTTCACTGAATGCATATCAGTGTAAGAGGTGATTGTCAACTAAGACTCAGGGCTATGTATGTCTTAAGTATGTCTTATGCTTCAGTGTATAGATAGTTCACACTCTGAAAGAATTATGTGCTCTTGGATAAAACCTTTTATTAATAAGAAATCTAAAAGATTCTCTGCTATTATGATGTTCAGATAAAGTTTTCCACTTTTTAAAACGGCTTGCTTTAAATGAAACACTGTCTATAAACATAGAAGAAACATTTCTACATATAGGTACAAATTGACAGTATGTTGTAATTGATTCGTCACTCATGGGGATTTCTAAAGAATATATGCTGAACTACATCAGTATAAAGTAATTGGGGTTGATGGGGACCTCTGGAGGTCATCTGGTTTTATAACCACATGTTGAGGGTACCTTTGGGGTACATAGTATTCTTGAGGGCCATCGTCATTCTCCAGCTGCCTGCATTAAACAGTAGACACATTTGTTGGATGACATATTTGGTTTTCCAGAAGTGTAGAAAACTTTGCTAAAGCCTAGAAAATCCTGTATTAGACTGTAACTCTCAATAACTAAAACCGTGAATTGGGTCCAACCATTTCTGTCATTTATTCTATGCAATTTCTTCTGCTTTAGTAATTCAAACTCCTCAAAAATCATTTTGCACCAATTTTTCTGAACATGCAGACCAGCATTGGACTGGCATTCATGTGTGTTCAAAATATTGCCATCTACAGTATTTTCTTACAGTGTGCTTTTCTAAGATCTGTTGGATTATTTTTTTTTCTGCTGTTGAGGAAGATTTCAATTTGGCTTTGTCTTGAATGTAAGCAAAATCATGATAATACTGTCCTGTATCCAATCTGTATGAAGGCAAAGTAAGGGTGAGAACATAGTCTAATTTATTTCCAGTGTGATGTTGGACTGTCTAACCTATGCTGACTTTTTTCCATTTTCTATTCTGGGCTGGAGGGAAGAGTCAAAATCTTCACTAGAGAGGCATTAATAGAAAATTACAGTATACGCAAATAGGATTAAACCTTTTAGGAAGCACAAATATTAATTCTTATTTGTGCTACCAAAACTAAATGAATACTGATATAAACTAAAGAATAGATGTTCCATTAAAATATTGTTGCTAAAGAAATTAGGCCTGTCAAGTGATGTGGAATCCAGGGAAATAACCTACCTTGGCACTATTTCAGTAATGTTGCGCAAATTGAAATGTATAGAAAAGCCACATGGCAGTAACACACACAAATCATAACACAGCTGCAGAATTAAGATTGCGCATTAAAACAAATAGCTTTTTTGTCTCTTCAGTCTTCATTTAGATGAAATTGCAGCTCTGTCTGCCTGACTTATTTTTCCTGATAATCTCTTTTCCTTCCAGGGCTTATTAGTCTTTGTGTTTTGCATTGTACGTGTAAGTATACAGGCTGCAAAACAAGTAAATCTATGAATAAAAATAGGAGGCTGGATTACTTAGCTTTAACTATATTTCTGTGTGTGGATTCTTTGTCTACTACCATCAACAGCTTCAAGCTTAGTTATCTAGGTTCAGGGCTACAAAGGAAGAAATGTTGCATGTTTTAGGTGTGCAGGACACTTACACTGACTAAAAAGCACTTATACTGAAAAGATTTAGAATCTTTCACAGTGCGTGTGTGTTTTCTCATCGTGGGGTGCATACACATGCAGAGAACAAAACATCAAAAACAACCACAGAAACTATAAAATAACCTCTTACCAGTGTAATAGTATTCAAATTTGTTTCTATATGATGGGGTATAACAAGTACTTCAAAATAATTAACTTTGCCTGATCTTCTGAAAGCTACTTCTGAAAAGTTATTTCAAAGATCAGATGAAGACGGATAAAAGCAAAGCCCTATTCACCTTATCTTCAGATGGAGAAAAGAAAATGGAAAAAAGGCTTTACTATATTTACAGATTGGAAGTTAAGAAAAAGTTCAAATGATTCTTCCTACTGAAGAAGTCAACAGTACTGTTAGTTTATCAGGTTTTATATTAAACTAAATAAGATTTAATTACACAAGATCAGAGAAAGGTATAATCTAGATTAAAAGATCACAGTGATTAAATCAGACATCTAACAAAGAAGAGCTTTCTGACCAATGTTGTTTTAAAGGGCAGTAATGTAGTGGCAGTCTTCTATGTTTCTGGCAACTCTGAGATACACAACATGATTCTGATGTTGGGAGATGTTTTCAGTCTGAAGAAAATTCCCTTCATAAAATGTTACACAAGTGAACTTCAAAATGCATCTGCCTCCTTACCAATGTCATCATCTTGCTGGAGTTGTTTCATTTAGCTCTCTTCCAAGTTGCCAGCAGTCATAACTTTACCGTTATCCTAAATAGTAACAGCATTTTAAAGCCATTGGCTCCTGGAACTGTTTGTGAAAGTTGGAGTTTCCTTAAAGAAACAAACAACTCCCGCCTAAATGTAAAGCTCTATTACTGCCGAGTAAATTTTGAAAATGCAAGTGCTAAAGGTTCAACAAGAAGCAAAATAAGCTTTTTATTGCTGGTAGAAAAGGAAAACAGATTTGCTTTTACATTTGGCTACGCATCATTCATTTTAAAAGACATAATGGCTAGTGTTCATATGAATGTTCTCAATTTTTACAGAAAAGTAGACCATTGTAAGTATTTATTTATTTGCTAAATCTGATCTCAAGAATACTTATTCAAAATTGCATGCCACTTGTTATCAAATACATGGTATTTTCAATTATCTTTTTTTAAAAGACACTGAATATTCCAAACCTTTATCTTTCTTTTGTGAAATTTAGTTATTACACATTGATTACTAGTTTCTGTGATACATTGTAGGCACATGCACAATATTTATGACTTCTCTTCTATTTTTATTTCCAAGGTTTGTCGAGTTGCCTATGAAATTATGCAGACATTGCATCCAGATGCTTCAGCGTATTTCCACTCACTGGATGATATCTACTACTTTGGGGGACAGAACGCCCACAACCAGATTGCTATTTATGCTCATCATCCACGAACTGCTGATGAAATTCCTATGGAACCTGGAGATATAATTGGAGTAGCTGGAAATCACTGGGATGGATATTCAAAAGGCATCAATAGGAAATTAGGAAGAACAGGCCTGTACCCGTCTTACAAAGTTAAGGAAAAAATTGAGACAGTCAAATACCCTACGTACCCAGAGGCTGACAAATAGAATAAAATGAAGACATTTGACAGTGATTCTCACTTCTAATTGGTTCAAACCAGTCAACATACTAACTAATGGTTTATATGGGATTTGAATTTGCATTTTAACATACAGTTAAAATCAAAGCCTTTGGTAATGAAACTGGAAAAGAAACTGAGAACAAATGGATGGGCTATTATTTGAACTTACTTCGAAACATTTTTTGTTATATGCACTCTCACACATGCACACACAAAACCACATACAACAGGAAAACTGTTGTTTTATACCTTTTGTCTCTTTTCAAGATTTGTCCCAGTCAGTAGTCTTACGTGAGCTTTGGGCTCTTTCCTCTGCCATTAATTGACAATAATGCTCAGACTTACAACACTGCCACATCATGTAATTTGAGTGACATGAACATATTTTGTATGTGCAAAATTTAAAACATGGTGCCTATATTTGAAAGATTTGTGACCTTTTTAAAAGAGCCATGCCTATTTCACTAATGGGCAAAAGTCAATCTTCAACTGGTGTTACCGTGACCACTGAATTTGCTTCAGATTCAAATTTCAGACTAGGTTTCTTTACAAGTTTATTTTTAGCATTCCATTGATTACTTCTCATCATTAATAAAATAAAGGATACATCCAACGATAAAATAGTCACTGTCTGTTAGGAACTTTTGTAAAACAATGCCATAAACAAATTCTTTAGTACTGAATGTTTTTGGACATTGCCTTTGATTTAAAAATAAAAAATGAAAAATAAAAAAAAACAGAGAAGGAAAAAGTAGCTGAGCTGGAGTTTCATCAAATGTTTGAGTATGCATGTAGTACAACAACAGCTAGAGGTACTGTGGTTGTCAGTGGGTTTCAGCAGGATAATTTCAGTGGCTCAGTGTCTTACATCTACTCTTTAGGATTGTTCTTTTACCCTCTCTGTTTTTCTTCTGATTTTTTTTTTTTTTTTCAGGATATTATAGATAGCTATGTATCATTTTGGCATTGAATCTAGTTGCTTTTAAGCAAAAATGTTCCAAGTTCTCCTATTTATAGATCCCACCAATTTAGATGTAATTTCAGAAGAATCAGTAGATGCCATTTTCACTGGATTAGTACTCAAAAAATCCGACAATTTACCCAGAAAATAGTAGATTCCAGTAAAATATAAACAAGGATTTTTTTTTTTGCACGACATTAAATTGTTAGTAATTCTTAGTGTTTTGAAATCTGTTGCTAGTCTGCTCTTTATTAAGAAAAGAGACAATTTAAAAAAAAAATTACAAACAAAATTGCAGATTTGATGAGGGGTTTGTATGTGTGTATATATATATAAATGTACAGGATATTAAGAGAGTATTTCCAAATAGAAAGAACATTAATGGCATTTTACAGGTTGTAGTGCAATCAGATCTGGAATACTGGAAGTACAAAATATGTTTACTATTCAGGCACTGAAAAAATGCCACACTTTAAAAAATGTGTCTGGTTGACCTTAAGCAAAAGTTAAAAAGATATTTAATTATATTTATGAATAGATAAAGGACAATTTTGACACAAGAACAAGCAGATGCACTTGATCATGAATAAATGTTAGGCTTTTTAAGCCTAAATTATTAAGAAGAAGGAAATCCCTGGAGGTGTGAAGTTTGGCAATAGTTTTCTAATTGAAATAGTGGTGAGTTAGGTAGAATTTGATTGGTATATAATGGAATTAACCAATTAGTTCTCTGTGATATTATTTTCAGGACAGATCCTGTAGAACCCTTCCAGTTATGTGTTCCTCAAGTGAAAAGCTATTGTGTGTCTTGAAAAAGAACAACAAAATCAAAGTTGAAAACTGCTGTCAAGAAAAAGATAAGTTGCCTGTTGCTAGTATTAAATAGTAATTTTAGTAAAAGTGACAATAGATAATGAATATTTTTAAAGACAGATTGAAAAATAAAGGCAAATGAAAGAAGGAGTGGGCAAGAATTGCTAAAGTCAATTTTTTTTTTTTGTGACTGAATCTGGCTAGTGTTAACTACTATTTCTGTATTTTGGAACTACTGAGGAAGCTATTTGATGTTAGTTTCCTATCTAAGTGATTCTGACAATTTTTCCACTAGTTTAAGCCAAACTTGTGTTTTTTCAGAGGCACAACTGTAAGCTATTTTACAACTTTTTTTTTTCCTTAAATTTGAATGGTACATATAAATCCATTGTTACTTTCCTTTTTAGCTTGAAAAAAACAAAACAAAACAAAAACAACAACAACAACAAAAAACTAAAACCAAAAACATTTATTCCTCAATGATTACATAAAAACATTTTATCTTTGGGAAATCTAATTTTTAATTATTTCCACACAAATATTACAAAATATATTTGATGGTTTTAGATTTTGCAAGTGTTTTATTTTGAAGTTCTTTAATTACAGCTTCAGACATCATAATTCCCAGCTCATTTATTTGACAGTAATGCAGAAATAGTATTCATAAATGAATTAACATATGAAAAAATCCTCTCTAGTCAGGTAAGTCAATTGAAAATATCACTGAAAAATATAAATAGCAGAACATCTAAGATGACCCCAGAAGCAAGAGCAGATCTTCTGATGTAATAACCAGAGAAATGAAAACACTGATGCTGTAGAGGAACTACCCAAATTAATTTGTCAATTGCTCAGCCAACGATGAAGGTGACAAATTATTGACAAGGTACCTGTGTGTCCTTACATATTCTAAATATCTAGTGAATAATTATCTCATTGTCTTGAGAAAATGATAGTGAAATAGTATGAAATTATAAAATTACTGTCAATAATTAAGAAATGTATTAACGTAGATACTGTGACCTTATTCCCCTGGGTTGTATGATTCTCTAGTGCTTACAATGCAGTACTTCTCAGAGGAAGAAACTTAGCAATAGGCTGTTTGCTAGATGCTTCTGTCTCTAGAGGTATTTCCTTTAAGACAACTGGTTAGTTATGTCTTGGAATCCTGGGACCGTGGGACAATAAAAGTAAACTTAATTCTCGGTGACACTGAGATTGAGGTAATATGAAAGGATCCATGGGTAAATGAAAATGAGATCTCAAAATTTTTATTGTAGCTCACTGAAAAATGAAATAGCAGGAAATAAATATATATAATTCTTAGATACCTGAAAGAAGACTGAATTTTTGAAAGTTGTAAACTCATTAAGATACCAGTCAGAATGGTTGCAAGCAAGCGTTTACACATCTTGTTTGTTCCGTTCACTTTGTAGCTCTGCAGCAATCCAGTCATGTAATTTTTATCTCATACCAAACCACCAAGTCTGACATCCATACAAGACAGCCCTTATACTCTCTTAAGTGAGCTAATGTTTAATTAAATTTTTCTTCTTTAAGAAGCATTTGTGCATGTGTGAGTGTGTGCGTGTTGTGTTCATAAAAACAAACAACAACAACAACAACAAAACAGCAAAAAAACAGCAAACAGTGTTGTTTCCTTCTTTGCTCTTTTACATTATCATTCTTACATTCTTTATAATAACTTATTTTCTAGGTAAATATAGTCTCTGTAAACTGAAAATTCTAAATGCTTCTCACTAGCTGAGCTAACAAATCTCTTCAGAGTAGTTCAGTTAACTAGTCTTCTGTGACCTTGGTACACCTGGAGACTGGGGTCATCATCAGTTCGCTGCTGCAATTACACCACCCTGAGTTCTTTTCTTGATTTTTCAGTCAAGCCTACAGTCAGATGTATGGCATTCACAAACCTCCTCTACTAACATGCTGTTCTGGTGACTTGCAGTGTTTTGGATTTGTTTTTGAAGGGTGATGTTTTATTCGTGATGTTTTATTCCAAAATTTTAGAATATTTATCTTCTGAGAAATGTTTTGTCTACCCCTTCTACCATGGAATTTTAAGGAAACTTGCTATTTCTTAAAAGATTTATCTTCTTTATTAGTTTTTCAGAAAAGATAAATGATGATATCTTTTTTTTTTTTTTTTTTTTATGGAGAGATTCATAATCTAAAAATTTTCTCTGGAATGGAAACATATTTAATTTTCAGGAGAGGATTTTGTTTCTTTGGTTTACAATTAAAAAATGTGGGTCTCATCTTCTGAGCTAGGAACATAATTGAATATAAAACAGAAAATTTTCTTTACAAATTCTCCTTGATAAGGGGAGGAAGATATTCTTCATGCCAATGGAGTAACATCTGCCATTTGGAAATTCTTCAAAACAATGAATTGAACTTTTGTTTTCCCAGGTCATAAGATTCTTTGCAATGTAATCTCTTGAGTGTTTGAAGAATCCAGGTAAAAAGCATTTAGGGAATTCTCCTTTCTTTAGGGAAGGAGAGAGTCAAATAAGAAGGCATGATATTATACTTCTAAGTTGCTGTATTAGGTTAATAAAACCACAGTATATAAATAAGCATTTCAGTTATGGGTTAAGGACTTCTGCCAGAAGAATCATTCTGCTCCTTGCCAGAAATACTTAAAATTTGCAATCCTTTTTTGATTTTGTCTAATACTACTCCCAGTCATGTTTATAAACATTGTGGTAGTCATACTCTGGTCTTTGGCTGTTACTGTATTACATTTTTGTTCCTTATTGGGGTTGATGGAGTCTTTGTGGAAGGCTGCCAAAGGGCATAAACTTTATTTGGTTCACTTATTGTGTTGAATTAAAACTGCATTTAAAACTCACAAAAATTCCATTTGCCTAAAGCACCACTAGAATTCTCTTTGCAGACTGCAGACTTATGTTAAGTTCCCCTATATGTATCTACAAGTTTTTAGGGAGCAATACGAGCAAAAAAAGTTATGTATAAATGTCAACCATAAACAGTCTGGGCTAGACTTCATAGCATTCTGGTCATTTCTAAAAGGCATGAAATATGACATTGCATGAGATGAATAAGAAGATGGTATAAAATACCCAAGCCCGCAAAAAAATTGCTAGTGTCTGCCTGCATCACTGGTTGCATTCATTGTGTACGAGATTATTTCAGAATCAAAGTATGTGAGGCAGAGGTCTTTCAGCATTACTACATAAAACTGAGAATTCTTTCCACGATGTGTTTACAATAAAAAGTGCTGGTCTTTGCCACTTTTGGTACTATGTACAAATACTTAACAATGCTGATGCTGTTTGCTATTTAGTAGAACCTTTATTTTGCATGATTATTTCCTTTGACTTGCTTGTCAGCAGAATCCTATTGCCACTTCACTTGAAGCAACATTGGATTAATACAAAGGCATGCCAATAATTTGCACAAAAATGTCTTTACCATTGCTTAAAATTAACTCCATGCTCTTAGGTTTACTCCTAAGAAGACACTGCTGAGGGAAGGAGTCATCTCTGCTGGGCTATACAGTCCATGTTATATAATTGCTGTAACATACAAGTTTTACTTTCAATTTTGCATGATTTTTCCTCTTTCTACAGATTAAGAACATTATTTTTAAATTTATTTATGAAGAGTTATACTGAGTACACTGAGACAAAGTCCCAACTATGCTATACTTTCTTGAAGAAGAACTTTAACCCATTTCCTCTAATTTTCCTAAAAACACCTACCAGTCCCAGCATTTTCATAGAATTTTCTTGATTGATGTTTTCTGAAGACTGTGACATGTTTATGCTCTTCCATTAGCCCTGCTGCCTACTTGCATCTGAGCCTGGTCAGATGTTTGTATGAACACTTTTCAAAGCTTTCTGCTTAGTGGCTTTTGATTTCTTTGCTAATTGTTAGTGATCATTACAGGACCAGAAAAGCAAGGGACATCAAAAAATATTTGATTTTTCATAAAAATGTAAATTTATATTTCTTTTAGTTTTTTTTTTTTTTGTCCTTTTTTCTTTGTTTGTTTTTGTTTTCTTGCAAGATGCATTTTCCTATTTTCCTGAAATGGTATACTCAAGGAATCAAAGAGAAAACACCATAATCAGATGTAAGCATTCTAAACATTTATTAGTTATAAGGTATGAAAGTTCCTTGTTTAATAAGATTTGCTACTCACACCATGACAAACTTCTTGACCAGACAAAATAGTCTTCTCATAGCATACCCCATCATTTTAATCTTCCTGCTCTCTTTCTTTGGCATTTATTTATTTATTTATGTGCTATAAAGAGCTGCACAATTCTTGGTGACTCAACTGCAAGTAGAGCCACAAGAATATTACATATTTAGCTGTGAGAATGCACTGAATGTGGAAACTGCTGTCCAGTTCAGTTGTCTACAAAAGATCTGTCTCGAAGCCTGATGTGCTGATATCTTTCCAAACAGTAGCAACCTGGAGGAATAGAAGGAAACCAAAAAGCAGGACACCCTACTTCCTTCTTCATGGGTGCGAAAGAATCTGGCATCTGTTATGTCCAACTAAGATGCTGGAAAGGAACTGACTAGTTGATGGCAGTAGGTTTGCCTCACTGCTTCAGCTTGTTGCTGCAGAACAATGTTTGATGAATTTATCATTTTAAATCTGTGGTCACTTTGTAACTTCTATAAAACCTACTTGATTTCACTTAAGAATAAAATTGTTATACTAAAGGAATAAGTTCAGATTCGTGGGATTAAGCTGCCAAATAACATTTCTCCTTGCTTCAGATGGAGTTCATTTTGTACTGAAGGTTTTTTTTTAAATGATTTTTTGCTTATGACTATATTTCAATTAATTCAGTAAGGGTAAACAAATCCTGTTAGGCTGGCTTGACCATTTTTTAAGCTGGGTGTCACTAGATATACAGAGGCTACAACTACTGAACCTTTGCATAATAGATTGAAGACTGATGAATTCCTTTGCTTAATGTTTCTTTTGCTTATATAAGACAAAGAATGTTTTCTAAATGTAAAATAAATTATATGTACAGGATCTATCTACCTGTTCAGAATGTGTTTCTCTGAAGCTGCTGGTGTGTTATGACTGGGTTTTATTATGCCAATTCATATTATTGGCTTATATTCTTATGCTTCTGAGTGTGTTGCTCATTCCTTTTGTCCAGTGTTTAGGTTATAGGTTTTATGATCCAGGGTTTTTCCCCCTCCTCTCCCTGCCTTTTTTTTGTTTCCAGTGCTCATGTCACAATGGAATCCTTGTCATTCAGTAGGATCCCTAGACAATACAGTAATAATAGTCATAAGATGGGCTAAACATTTCATCAACAATGCTCAGTTCAATTTGATTTTGTATTGATTGCTTTTATTTCTGTTGCATCAATATTTTGTTTAGATGTTTATATTGATTGTTTACTGTTACGTGCATGAAAAGAAATTCTTAAACCAAACCACAAGCCCAAATATCAGATGTCAGATTCAGGAACGTAGTCTTTGCTCCTTCCTACATGGTGGTGATATTTGTTATTGTCAGCGTATTTATATGTTCGGTTCTGAAACAGGACAATGGTTTAAGAAATTGCCTTGTGTACTTTGCTGTCATTCCTTCTCTTGGATCTTAGAAACTTACTGTATGCTGTGAATGTATTTCAGTGTGAACTGAAATAGATTAATTTATGCCAGTGCTGATTGGATTGATGTATATTAGTGAGAGCTTTGAAAGTTAACATGGAAGTATACCTTTCATTTCTGTGCTTTTAAAATTATGTATTGGAGAGTCAGTGTAAGAACCAATGGAATAATAGGCTTTTGTCACATTTTGTTGAATTGGCTAGAGCTTACACTTGCCCTTTTTTGTTCTCAAGTTGCATTAATATTCTGTGGAGAAACAAATGCTTACACCATTGCAGACAGCTGTGTCTAATAGAAAGGGATAAAATCTGTTGAAGAGTCTAGAAGAAACCTTTGGAAGATGAAGAGGATCATAGAATGATTTGGGTTGGAAGGAACTCTTAAGGATCACTTAGTTGCAACCCCCTGCAGAGACACCTTCCACTGGATGCAACCAAAGTAATGGTTGGCTTGACATGAAGGTGTCTTAGCTTTATCTGCTGCTGATGTTTACTGAAGATCTTGTTCATATCTTCCTGGCCTGTCCCTTCAGGATTCATTTGAAAGACACACATTGTTCCATCATGAGTTCATGATGGATGGGTATCAATTTCAGAACATACTGTTCTTTCCTGACAAGATCCATCCTGTCAATGCGTGTGCTCTGCTCTACTACCTCTATAGTGAACCAGTCTAGATTTTCCTTTTTCCTTTGCTGTACTGCTTAGTTGATTTTGATCTCCCATGAAAGTCTCCCTTGAAGCCTTTTTCTTCTGATAAAGACATACACGAGTTAAAAAAAAAAAAAAAAAAAAAAAAGTCTTGTTGATTCAAGTCTCATATTTTATTTCTGAGGTACCTGTACTTTGCCTTGCTGACCTAGAAAACTACAACGTAGCTTTTTTCTTCTTTTCTGTGGCAAGTAGTAAAATCTGTCGCCAACAATTTGGAGTTCTTGGCACTGAAAGTAAGTTTACAGTTTCTGCAGGTATTTCTGGCTGGTTTTGCTTTCTGAGAGATTGGTGACCCCTGTGACAGTGGACATATGGAGTACTCAAAAAATAGTTTGAGCTAATTCTACGTAATATGCTTTTTCCTACAAACATTATCACTGTTTTGCCTAAGTCTATTTTATCCAGCTTTACTTTGCTTTAAATTTTATCTTACAGTTGCAGAAGTACAGGGCAATAATGTTGTCTGTGCTTAAAAGGCAGTTGCAAATGAGTTTTCTAAGCGTGCTGTTAGTACAAGGCACAACAGTGTTCATTCATCTCTTCATTTATGCAATTTCTTCCACAGCAACTTCTCTACCAGTGGTGCCAACTTGATTTCTTTGTTTCCAACTGATTTCTTCCCTGTCTCTGTCTTATACATAAAATGCTCTTCTGCTCCATTCAAATCTCTAAAAATAAAACAACCTTGCATATGTATAAAAAAAGAAAATAGAACTAAAGGCAATTAAATTATCAATGCATCTGCTTTTTCATCAAATTTTATCTTTTATATATCACATTTTTAATTTTAAGCTCTCAGAAGCAAAAAAAATATTTTGCTATTGCTCAGAAATCAGCAATTCTTCATTCTGAAACAATAAACAATAGACAAAAAGGCTTATAGAAGGAGGGAAACCTTTCCAAAAGCATTAGATTCTAATACAAACATATTAAAAAATAGAAATCCCATTAAAGTCCTAAAGGTAGAACTGCATGAAAGATTACTCTGAATGCCAGAGTAAGAAATAAACAGGATTATAATTTTTCCTGTTTTTCCCCTGTTGTTTTATCTAACTTGTCTCAGTTGCTTCTTATCTTTGAGGAATTGGCATTAATTTTCATCTTTTGAACTGAGCAGACTCTTCGATATGCAGACTACATATCAGAACAACTATGTGAAGTTTTATCTCAAGACATTTTTAAGCATAATAGAAAATGAACCTGTTGATGTTCTGTTATTGCATTTAATATTTTAGCATCTTGAGGTCTTCAGGTCGTTGCTGTTGTGTGGTATATAACACGAGAGATAGAGCTTTAAGTATATCTGTCTGGAAAGACTACGATCAGCTGTCTACGCATAAGGCAATAGATTGATATGTCATGTTAATTAATCACTTTAATTTCACTTTCAGGATGTGCAAGGTGTATGACTGTGCACTGCATAGCAGTGGGGCTAAAGAATTTGCGAAATCAATGTCCATTTAACATTTTTTCATTATTAATGAAAAGTAGCTATGAGTAGCAACAGGTTTCCCTCTTGTCTTAGTTTGATGTCTGTCACTTGTTTATCATGTCACAGACTAAATGGCCAAATAAATAAATAATAAAATCAATTATTACAGAAAGGTTCAAAGCATAGTTTAGTCTTATCTAGCAGCCACACAAATTGCTCTGGGGAAACTCCCCAAAACAGACAAAGAGCATCATACTGAGTTCAGAAAAGAGTTGCTGCTCTGCAGTCTGTAAAATGTCTGTCTCAGGAATATTTAGGTTTCAAAGTGTACATTAGGACAGTACGTTGTTTTGTGCCTATTTATTACTGTATGTATGGGGATCTATTAAGTTTATGCTACTCTGGTCTTCTGTTTCTTCATAATTCTTAAGAATTATCATAACGTTTCAGAATCTCCTAATCTTATAATAGAATTACATTATTATAATGTTTATAATTTCCTAAAATTATGTACAGTAATGTAACCAGTCTGCTACCTAAGCAAACATGAGTTTTCCAAATTTCCAAATGCATTTTCTTTCTATATACAGTAATATTAATGCTCTGGAATCGATGCATGCATCATCGGTTTACAATGTCAATATTGAAGTTAAGTATCTCTAGCATTTTTGCAATTGCAGTAGACATTTTTCCAGGAAGCACAAATGGAAATTGCCTAGATCAGTGGTAATTATTTTCAGCAGTAATATGACTTAGCTAAGTATCTGTTTGCACTGAAAGAAGACAAATCTTTTTTCCAAAGATGATTGGAATCTGTTTTCATGAAAATGCCTTTTTGATTCCAAAATCAGGTGTGTTGATGTACGCATTCCTTACAATTCTTTGTTTCTGAGACTAGTCAAAAAATTGAGTAAAGCACTGCTTGTTCTGGTACTCTGTATATAGACAGGACAAGCTCAGTTCCCAGGGCTGTGCAGATTTGCTGCCAGTTTCCTTCCCATATCCTTCAAGTACAGTGATTTTTTTTTTAACTGAAGACATAGTACTGGTTTCATGTTCTAACCTTTTTCATCTGTATGTAGTAACATTGCTTTTGTATGCATTGCTGGCTGAGACAGACCATACTCAGTAACAGGTTAGTCTGAGTACCAGGAAGAAATCTACAAAACAAACCAAAACAAAACTTAAATATGTAAATAGACATGAAAGGAATCTTTATTATTACTGTTATAATTTTAAATTACAGCTACTGCTGGTAATGGCTGTAGTTTTCTTTGCAGGTCTCGGGCTTTTCCTGGAACTTACTTGGTATGCACTTGCCAGCAATTAGAGTCTTTTGTCCTTTACAGGGCAGTATCCTTTGTCTTTATACTCTTCCATGAAATTTCTAAAAGAATTTGAACGTTGCCATGTGTTTTATGCATGTATTGTCTTTCTTAATCCTTTGTATCTGTATGATTTTAAGACTGAAATGGCTAGAATAGATATTTGAAAGTTTTGTTATCAGACTCCCAATACATTTGTGTATATACTCTGTGCTTCATCATTACAAGGTTTCCATTAAGTCATAATTAAAACCCCTAAAAACAATGATAAATGTACACATAGTGGCCATAATCTTTAGTTGGTTTTGAATTAAGCTCTTCAAAATTTGTCTCTTGTGAGAGGGTGACAAGTTCTGTAGTATGCACCAGAAATTTTCCAAGTATGTATCCCAGATATGTGGTAGAGCGTAATCCTATGAATGATCAGAAATACCAATGCTATAATCATAGCACATTCAAATATTTTCACCAATTTCACTTATTGACACATACAAGAAAGTAACATAGACTTCTGTATAGACCTTTTACAAAGCATTTGGAACAACTGTTGTTCTGGGTATGTTTTCTAGTTAGTTATTCCTTCAGTCAGTACTAAAAAGGACTGATTTCTTACCTCATTTCTCAGTCATTTATTGGTTGAGAGAAAATGACAATTAATTAGGAATAAACACTTTAAGAAAGAGAAAAGTTAATTGTCTCTGTCTAACAGCTTTACCTTTGTAACAGGCTATTCCCTTATGTATTCCACTTTTATCCAGCTTTCCCCTTAGCTTTAGATTTCTGTATAGCTCATGAAGTCTCTAATGGAGAACAAATAAGAGTTGCATGCTTCCTCTACACTCACTGTGCATAAATGGCAGAAGTATATTTATGAACTGAAGGGTCTCAATTCTCTGACTTTAGGTGCAGGAATGCATGCCCAGCCCCAATCATTGCTCATGCGGCAATAAACCTGGAAGACATAAGCTTCCATACAGGTATGTGTGTTTGTTTTTTTTTAATTATTATTTTTATTTTATTTTATTTTTATTTTTTATTAAGGTTTTGATATTGAGAGAGTTGTGCACCTTCTTTTCTTTTAGTAGCTGTCTTAACATGTATATTCTACTCTTCAATGTGTGATCAATGTTATGGATATTTTAGTTAACAGCTAAGACACTTTTGGACTGCAGCAGCTCTTATGGTTGCTATATTTGAGAGTTTAGGGCCAGAGGAGCAAACGTGTACTCTGTCCGTTCTTTTCCTCACAATATAGGTTAGCAGTGCTTTCCACCAAATACATGGTTCCCAAACTCATAGTTACTTTTTTTTTTTCTTTTTTTTTTCCTAAGACATCTCTGACTTTAGGGTTATTTATCCATCTTTGCTAGTTCTAGAACTTCCACTTATATATCATTCTGTCTATTTTATATTTAGGCTTTCTAATTTGGGAGAATGTTGTTAGAGGAGACTGACTGCTTTTAAGAGAAACCTTGACTCATTCATCTTAGGATTTGCTCCCTTATTGTCCAGGTATTCACAAACATGGTGACCACTTTAGATGTCTGTGTCTATATGACAGTGTAAATAATGGATGCTCATTAGCCCTGATCCTTTTGGTTCTAAGATCCCTATAGTTTTCTGTTTTGGTCTTGCTGGAACTTGGGAATTGTTCAGGTATTTGCTTGAAAAGTAATCTTCTTTCTCCCTCTTTATTAAAGTAGAAGTAATGCTATTTTAAGGTACCATGGACACCTGAAGTACAGGTCTCGAGAGTTTGTACTAGATATAAAGTTTAGTTTCAGTCATTGCTTAGACTAATCACAGAGATTCTAGTACTACATCAGTATCAGTGAGGAGCTAGCTGTAGCTGTTACTGCAATACGGTCTTATCAGTGAGTGAATTCACAGAATTTGTTTTCTGGCTCAGCAGGGTAAGCCGTGCATGTTAGTGTGACTCAAGCCATTATCTCTTTGAGAATTTAACGACTTGGATGTAAAAATTAGCTTAATCTTAATCCAAGTTTGTGGGAGATGTACGAAATGCAACTCAGCTGGCAGTTGGCTGAGTTGTACAATAAAACCCTCACATCCAGCACCGATCTATATATTCTTGTGTCTTGAGAGGAAAAACAGGATACATTTTTTGTATGGTTAAATGAGTAACTTGTGCATACATGATTCTAGCATTAATCTTAATGATGATTGTTAATTTCTTTCGTCAGTTTATCACACTCATATTCATATTGATTCACCGCTTTTCCAGTACAATTTACTCAACTGTATTATCATTTATGCATACTGTGGTTCTTTGTTTCTCTGTTTTCAGGATCCGTATTGGTCTCTAGAAATTGACACTGATAAGGCTATAACTGCTAGGAAATGAGCTTTATTTGAGCATATATCTTATGATCGGAGGCTAATATGAATCGACCTAAGTGTTACTCACTAAAAAAAAAAAAGCCATCAGGTGATGATTTCTGTTTGCCTTAGCCCTGACATCATTTAGGTTAGTGCAGTGTCAGACTGGCTCTTAGCTTCGAACCTACTAGTGTGTAATACAAGCCTTAAAATATGTGAAGCTCAAGTCTGAGTTCATACTGTTTCACCACTTAATGACATTAATAGTTTTAAAAGTTTTTAATTAACAAAAATGTTAATATTTTGTAAGTTTAGTCATGTACATTTCATCTATGTTTAATCTAAATAATTCACTTATAATTCTTATAAATGTGAGGTAGCATTTATAAATTAGAAATGGGAATAGGAAGTCTCTGCTGAATTGCATATTTCAAATAACAACCAAGAAAAAGTAGAAAGTATTTTTACTACTCTGATATGTTTGTATCCTGATTTTATAGAAAATGAAACAAGTCAAAAAAAAAAAAAAAAAAAAAGAAAAAAGAGGAGGAAGAACTATGAAATGTGAAGATAAACTTTCGTTTAGATAAAAAACATTGCCATTGGTCCTTGATACTTATTTTGAGATGGCTTGATGTGGCTCACCTCATTTAGTCTGAAAGAGAAATTTATGTTTCTATTTCAGCTTCCAAGAAGTGTTAGCTGTTTTCTAGTATTAGCACATTCTTCCTTGTCAGTAAAAGCACACATAGTTATTCCCATTTCAGTACATATTAACCCCCCTGTTGGAGAATGGTCCCCCACAGCATCACAGCTCAGAGAAACAGGTGTTTGACTAATGTTCAGTGAAGATGAAAACATTTTCCGACAGATGTTCAGAGAAAAAAAATCATTATTGCTGAGTAATTACAAATTAATTGAGTTTTGCTTTAATTGTGCCTTAGTCCATAAGTGTCAGAAGATGGTAAAGCTATAAGAAAAGTCCTGATTGCCATGCATCTCAGTGGTCCACTGTCTCTACTTAAGTGCAATATAGTTAGACATATTTCAGATAATTTTAATACACCATTGAGGATACCAGCAGTGATCTAACCATAGTAAAGTGAAACTCCTCATAACCTAATTAAGCCTTCATTCAACTTAACCCTAGATTAAACCTATCTGTCCAACGCTGAAGTCATAATTGTAATGCACTTGGTACATTCAAGATCTGGCTAGTTGTTCTTTTGAGAACACTCTTGAAAACTAAGGCTAGTGTGAGACACTTTGTATTTTTAAACTCCTAATGGCTATCAAACATGAGAAAAGCTTTCTGGACCATCCAAAAACGCCTATCTAATAGTGTTTAAACACTCATTAAACATGCTTATCATCTAGAATGGTGAGCCTTACTGAAGTTAGTTCAGAATTTTAGCCTTTTCTACTGGCGTAGGTTATTTGTATATCAAAACCACGGGGAAAGTTTTTGCTTACTTTTTTTTTTTTTTTTTTTTTTTTCACTAGGAAAGAAAATAATATCTTAGCAGATGAACTCAGCAAACAGCGTTGTGTCCTGTGAAGGAATCCTAAGTGAATATTGTGTTCCAAAAGTGGAGAATTACCCAACTCTTTATTTGTGACAACTGCCTCCATATCAAATAAATTGTAAGGGTGGAGTTAAGGCTATTTAGTTGATGCTTTAATTTGGATTGAGTAGAATCTTCTTCCACATTTGTACTTCATTCTAGAACAGGATTTTTCTCTTAAAGCTGGATGGACACTGCAAAACTGATAATAGTGGAAAAAAAGGTTAAGATACTACTTTAATTATTGAGACTGGTACAGGAAGCTGATTATACGCTGGAATAGGATGAAAGGATTATTTTTATCTAGTGACTTTTCATAAATAAAACTGCAGACAAAACTAAGTGTAGAGTATAGAAAGCAACCTACTCAGTGTTTTGAGTATGAAGAAAAAAATTAACAGATCTTGTTTTTAAATTTTCTTCTTACATTTCAAGATGTATTCTTACATTTGTCATTCTTACAATCTTACAAATATCATTCTTACATTTCAAAATGTATATTGAAGCTTACCTGTGTGGATTTAAGAGAGACGTTAACAATCTTGAAGGTCTTCAGAAACAGGCTGGGAAGGCTGCTAACAGTTGTTGAGAACAATGTCAGTGGCTTTAAATTTACATTTAAAATAAAGCAAAAGAGGGGCAATAAACTAAATGAAACATTGCTCTGTGTTTAAAATACCTGTCCTACAGGAAGAGGCAATATGGATAAAAGAATAGTGTTCAGTCAAAGGTTGGATTAGATGATCGTGGAGGTGTCTTCCAACCTAGGTGATTCTGTGATTCAGTAATATTTTTCTAGGAAAAAGAGTCACGGTTGAGTTGGAAGGATTACTGCTTTCCAGAAGGAAAGTAGTCTAGACATATGTTGACCTGAGCTAGTGAGTACATGATTCTATATAACTTATTTGCTGCGTTTTCAGTATTAGAACTGTGTAGAATATTTTCAAAGAGCAGTGTGAAAATTTAGGAAGAGCAAAATATAGCCTCAGGAAAGCCTGTTGGTTTCATAGAAAAGTTGGAGACAGGATAGGAAACCCTGAGCATTAAGATAAAAGAAACGAAAGTGAGCACTTAAAGAAAAAGCTGTGATCTAGGGCCATATATTATTGTGAAAATTTGCAAGTAATCAAACCTTAGATAAAATAAATATCAGGAGCTTAAATTGTTAATGAATATAAATAATAAATGCTGGTAGTTTGAAATGGTAGAAATTTACTGAAAAATTAAACGTGGTCACATTAGCTGTAATATTTTTATGTTATTCATTAACGACTGTATTCAGTGAAACACTTGCAGCAGCATAGTCAAATTTTTTTCTAATGATCCAAAGCTTCAAATCACAGAAGACTGAGGCTGCACCTTTCAGACAGGACAATTCTCAGAAGGTAGGTGTGGTCACTGGATCACCAGTGAGCGTTGTTGTCTAGCACTTTAATCTTCAAATTCAGTTGTTGATATTGGTGTTGATGAATATAGAGTGTAAGCAGAGGCTAAGTGGTCATGATTCCTAGTATTTACCTACTTGGTCATACTGAACCTACTAGTAACATTGAAAAATTCCTGTGAAATGCCTGATGGAATCTAAGCAAAGAAAACATATTAGGGAGAGGCTTAGTAGAAAATGCTATTTACACTAATTTAGGCAAATTTGCATCTGTTTCTGATTTTGAAACAAATGCTGTGAAGGTTGACTGGATGCATACTTTTTCTTTTTTTTTGTCATACAGCTCAGAATGTGGATAATACGCATTGTCATATGCAAGTATTACAACTTCTGATACATCAGTGAGTGAAGTCCTGGCTTTATTAATAGCAACAAGAATATGTTGAGTGAAGTTAGGTTTTCATGCAAGCTTTTTTTCTGTATATTCTTTCAGCTGCTTTTCTTTTGGGAAAAAAAAAAAAAAAAGTGGGATTTTCTGTTGTGTATCCCACTGAAAGTGTTAAAAGTACTTGCAAGGTTGCTTCTCATGTGAAATGCAGACAAACCTTTCCAGATAAATACCTCTAAGTAAAATCAAATATAATTTTATTTTCTTTGCTAAGAATCTTGTAATCAAAGGTAATAAATAAGATTTGATCCCTTATGCTTGTATAGGAGCTAAAATGCTGAACAAGTACAGCTTTTCTGCCATTTTGTACATACAAGACAGTCCCAGCAGTGATTTTCAGCTATGCTGAGAGATGCTTTTCCTACCCTAAGTTTGAGAATGGGAATGCTTCATGTGTTAAATTGATTTGAGAAGAAAGCTTTTGTTGTTGTTCTTATTTTAGATTTCTTGAATTCCTGTTAATTTGCCATTCTTGAGATTAAGCATTAAGATATTAACCTTTGGTTTTATAATTCCCCTGATTTTTGTATCCATAGCTTAATGAATAGTTGTCCTCTGAGCAAATGTCACTTTCATCAGTGCTATTTAGACTGACTGCAACTACTTTGTTTTTCTGTCTTGGAGGATGTAAAGCATCTGTAGTAGCCACCTAACAGGAGACAGTTTGTTCTGTCTGTATCAGAGTTGGTCCTCTTCCATCTGAGACACTAATAAATGTGAAAATTTAATGAAGTGTAGAAAGAAGAGCAGTACTATAAACATTATTATCTACCTGTGCCTGATACATCTTCTGTTTCAGTTACAAATCTGTTCTTTTTTTTTTTTTTTTCCAAAGTCAACTAGAAGTTGTCACTGAATTGAAAAAAGAATCAAAAAGTATCTTGTTGATTCCAACAGTCTGAAACTTAAACAAAAGCTCTCGTAAATACTCAAGATAGTATGATAGTGCCAAAATATTTCTGACCTATTAAAGTTTATTGTCTTGAAAGTTAGTGATATTCTGGTTTTGTTACAAACCTTTCCCCTTTCAGTGTTTGTAATGTAAATATTTTCTGAGTCATGTAGTTTATGAAATTAGAGATTGTGTGATATAGAAAGGACCTTGAAACTGTACACAAATATTTAATTCCTTGTATTTATTCCCCATGCTGCATGTGTTGGTGTACAGGTTAACTCTCTCAGTACTTTCAATAAGAGTTGGATTTAGGACTTCATCTTTTCAGATGCCCTTACAAATGCATGAGGCTAAGTAGATACGCCAATCAGCTCAATGCCTGTACCAACTCCATTAAGAAGGCAAGATGTGCAATTTGTTCTTTAAATGAAACAGTGAAAGATTTCCCTCCAGAATGCACCATAAACACTTTATACACCTTTATTCCAATTCCATTGTCATCTCTGTATAGTTCACAGGGCTGCATAATGAATACCTGTCCAACAGGACTTTAACTGATGGGACAGAGATCAAGTACATCTGACTACTGTTACCAGAGTCATACAGAAAGGAGCTATTTTGGAGGGCTTTTATTGCTCTCTATGTGAGAGGAGAAGATTAATAAGTCACATATATGCCTAACGTTATATTTCATGTCAAATAAACAAAGATATGTAGATGAGAGTTTTTCAAGATTAAGTTATCTGAAAGTAAGGTAATGTGGTTTTGTTTTTGTTTTCCCAGAGCTCCTTTTCTATGGGGTTCCTAGGGCATATTGTCAGGTTGAACGTAAAAGATAACATTTGGCCATTTTTTTTCCCAAGAAAGATAAGATGAATATCACCAAAGAGAGGAAGCTAAAGTGATGGAGCTGAGACAGATGTGCCTATATGAGATGTGAATGGGAAGGAACCTGTACCTGATAATGAAGTTTGAACTACAGAAAACAAGACAATGGATGATGGAGGTAAGTTTATACATCAAATTATGTGTACTTTGTGAAGCTATGAGAGTAAGCACTGTCTGAGTAATGCTTTTTTGTTTTTTAATCCCCTCATTTCCAAAGCAAATTTTGACTGAGCAGCTGATTGAGTGTTACTTAGTTTGAATGTCTCATTGATAAACAAATCCTTCCAGGTGGCTAAGAGCTGCTTGCTCAGAACTGTCAACCAATAGCATTAGCTTAACAAGCTTAGATAGGATACGGTGCTTTGCTTACAGTATTGGGAAATTAGGTATTGGAAAGTGAAGATCTTTTGAAACTTTTATTTTCTACTGAATAGAGGAATGGAAGCCAGAAAATCAAGTGTTCTCCGAATTGAGTCTTCAGATCATGTATTGAAACAAAACAAAATCATTCACTGATTTTTTGTTCAACACAGTAAATCTGTAGCAGAGGAAAAAAAGGAGAACTCTAGAAACAAGTTTCTTCAAAGATTTGATCATAAAGAATATGGAGAGGAAGGACAGAAGTAGTATCAGTTGTCATAGTTACTAGGATACATCTGCCTGAGATCCTGAAAGGCTGTCAGGTTGGGTAGGTTATGTGCTGTTTCATTTAGCTTTGTCTAGACATTAGCAAAGTTAAAAATGACACACTTCTACACAATAAACATTCTGTCTGTCTTGGTATGGCCTGACATACTTCTGTTAAGTAAGCACAAAGTTTTGATGCTGTTTCATTTATGAAGAAGGACACAACATGTTTAGAAGATAGGCAGCAAAGACTCAGATGTAGCTAAATAGTTCCTCAAAATCTACAAAGAAAGCAGAAGAGAATTCATGGTCCATTTGATTTGTTGATTTTAATCTACAGTGAATTGACAGAATACTTTTGTCCTGTAGTGCATCTGTTAAAGAAAATAAAGTTGAAGAGAAATTGAAATAGATCATCAAAATCCTTCTTTCTGGTGTTTCTTCTTGGCAGATGTGCTAAATGATTATTCCTTTCTTCAGGTGATTAACTGTAAAAACTGACCTGCTTTTTCTTTACTACATGAACTAGACAAATTGCCCATGCACTAGCAGAAGTAAAATAGATGTTGTCTCTGAAACATTGGAATTTGTCAGGGCTATTTATCTGGTACTTTATTTGTATGTGACATAGACATTTGAATTGGCACAATTTTAGTTGTACACTTCTACTTTCTTCATAGAAAATACAATTTATATTGGAAATGAGCAGACATAGTGAGAATTAATACTGAGGCTTTATTAATCTTTAGAGTGATTATATCCATTTCTATTTATTTTTTTTAACTAGTGCAACTATAGATTCTCTAATTGTAAGCATTGCAAGCTAATTAGAATTACATCAATAATTCTGCAGAGGGCAGAGTTTCTAATAAGGAAAATCATGGGACTGGAACATTTCTAAACAATGCTATTAAGGTTCTTCTGCCAAGACCCAGTTAATGATACAGAAAGAGGACAAAAATAGATGTTACATTAGAGTTAGAGAAGTCAAAAGCTGGGCTATAAATAGCATATGTGCCCCCCTGGAGATACTGTGGACAGATTCCTCTCTCCATCTCCCCTCCACTCAGTGATACTTCACTATTTTGAGATACTTTATTAAAAGAAGCAACTGTGGAAATAAAAAATAACATTACCCTGAATATATTCTCTGGAGTTTCAACTGATGGAGCTAGCTTCTTTTTCTATCCAATTCAACCCTGTTTCTTATTCATTATAACTTTGGAATTTGTAGGTGAATGAACATAGGCATAATAACTTAGTGGAGCTGGTTCATTTAAATTTCTAAATTTGTTGTTTGCTGTCCTCTAAAGATCAAACAAATCTAATAACATGAGTCTGAGTGATGTCAAAATACGACTCTTGCATTGTTGAAGCTGGTTATTCTTTAAAAAATACACAAGGAAAAATAATTAGCCCATGTCTAGGGACTACCACACAAATGTCCTTCAGTGAAAAATTACTTACACATTCAATACATTTTGAAAGGCATTATTAAAACATAATACAAAAATCTCTCAGAACACTGACACATGCCAGAGGGCAGATTAATGAGAGCTGGATAGCCACGTCACCTGCCTGATTTCTGTACTGAGAATTTGCTGGAGTTTTAAGAAATTGCTGGATGAGTCAATAATTTTTCATTGCCAGAGGTACAGAGTCTTAGAGTTTCTTCGACTTCCTGTTCAATATAAAGGGCAACAAGAGAAAAGCAGTCTTAGCTGCAGGGACATTTGTACCACTTCTGGCTGTAATACCAATATAGTTGTAACATTTGTCACCTGATACGGTAATTATGTGTATCTCTAAGAGGAGGTGCTTGGTTTGCTGTAGAGTATTGTGGATTCATATTCATGGTTGTTTAGAGTCAGAAAGATTATAATGGAAAATTACAATTAATTAAAAATTGACAAATAGCGTATCGTGATCAAAACTGATACATCTCACTATTTTTCTGAGCTCTTAAATAGTTAATATGCACATACTTGTTTAAAGAGGAACACTGATAAAGCGTTTCCTCTGCTGTGGTTGGTTTTTATCACAATACACTCAATTTTAACAAAAAGAAAAGACTAAATAGCCTGCAGTTTTCAGTGATGCTTATTTTTAAACTTCAGATGTGTCTCAGGTAAGATGCTATGAAAATATTATTTTTTCCCTCTGAGAATCACTCTGTTCTTTTATTATTATTTTTTTTTTGCATTTGCTCAGCTGTTCTTAGCTCTGTGGTTGATGGAAGGGTTCCTTTACTTCTCTTCTAATTATTGACTAATGCAAACTGGTCACAATCCATAGTAAAGAAAGATTCCTGTGGAGCTGCTTGTCAGACTATCAAACTCAGCTCTCATCATTTGTGATGCAAGCTGCAGGCTAGCTCAGTATCATCATGTGGCTGTCAAGTTAAAAGTTTGTTTGATGCAGCACCTGAATTTTAGGTGACTTTTCTCCCAACTTTTCCCACCTAAAAGCTTATCACTTGTAGCTAGTCGTGGAAATGTTTTGACAAACTAGCAGCTAAAATCTGTCTACTACTTCTGAGTGTTGATAGGGTTGTTACTGTAAGAGGAACAGCATTAGCTACCTGGGCCTTATCTAACTGATGTGGTTATTATCAGGTGATAAAGGTGAGCACATTTTTAAGTAGAAGTATTTGGGGAGAGATAGGCGATGAAACCACTCTACTGAATAGTTAGAGACTTCTCAGAGTATGTTATGGCAGTTTAAAGTGCTGAGAATGGCAAATAAGAAATATTTAATCAGCTGACTAGAGTTCTGGCCCTCATTTCTTCTGACTTACAGATGTTACTATGACGGTTTATTGAATATTCTGTGTCTGAGGAGAGTCATAACCTGTGTCCTACTACGCAAATTATTTTACTGAAAAAGAAAAAAAAAGTAGCTGGAAAAAAGTACTGTCCTATGCATCTGTCTCAGTAGAGAAGATACAGGCTAGTCTCCCTTCTCAATTTAAGATGCAGTTCCCCTTTGCATTGGCATTATTGTCATATTCCCATACCTTTATTTTAGAACAGAAAGTTGACACCATCAGCAATTTCCTCATATTCGAGACTTGCAGATCATTTGCTGGAGCTATTACTTTGCTGGCATTTTTGAATGGCCTTGCTTTTCCACTGTCCACTGGGGTTTCATTGTGAATCCCCCTCCATGGAATTTCCTGCATGAGTCCTGCCAGCCACCTTTTTATTTTACTACTGTTACTTTTTCTTTCCTTTTTTTTTTTTTTCCTTTTTTTTTCTTTTATTTTCTTTTAAGAGTGAAAGAAAATCCCGATGCTCTCAGTTGTTGAAAAAGTTTTGATTGATTGCTAAAGCTTTGTTTGGATTATTTGCTGAAGACATTTCAGATGCCAGTAACACGACTGATAACAGAAGTTGCTATTTGTAGTTTAGTTCTGTTGTGTGAAATCAGGGTGTGGTTCCCCAGAAAAAAAGGGAGATTCCATCTGGAAAGAGATTCAAACTCATGCAACTGTAGATACAGATTTTAGGCCAACCTGGTCATTGTTGCCCAGAGGCTGGAGTAGAGTGTGCCTAATGTTTAGGCTTCTAATTTAAGGACTATTTAGGTATACCCTCATCTACAACTTCCAAAAAAATAGAACTGGAATCCTCATCCCAACTCCTTCCAAACAATGGTATCTTCCATTGTATTTGGGAGCAGAACTCATGACAGGTTTCCTCCCAGGCTTCCTCCGGTTCCTCAGTCTATCCTTGTGTCTTGCTTTCTGTCCTTCTCCCATCCCCATCACACAACTGATAGGTGACATGACAGCCACCCTACAACTGCAGTTCAAGTGATGGGTGCAGATTTGGCTATGTGACAAGACCATTTGTTTGTCAGACCATGTCACGGGGGCATTCTCAATGCACCACTACATGTTTGCCTGTTATATGATTAACATAGTATATTCTCCATTGTATTATCAATGTGGAACATGATAACATTTCTAGAGTAACTGTGGTGTAACTTTGCCTTTGTAAGGGGATGCATGGGGATGTCCAGGCCCTATTACTTCCATCAAAGACTATATGACTTGCTTGCTCCAAAAATAACTCACACTGTTGTAGAATATTAGGTCTGCGGAAACTGTTTTCTTCTTGTATTTACTAGGAGATCTGAAGGAACTGGCTTAGGGGAAGCAAATTTATTACTGCATCTAGTTCAGTTCTTGCCTACAGAGCTTGTCTCAGGTCAATGCATACACAAATTAAAATTCCCAGATGTGACAGATGGTATTTGTTTTGGGTGAGTGTTCTCAGTTGCATGCTGTATCCCTTCAAGAAGTAATCATAAAAGGAGAGCCCTTGGAAACGACAGCAGGGGGGTGGGTGTATCTTTGGGGAGCTACAGGGCCTGTTTCGGGGAGCTGATTCCAGGGCCGTAAGGTATGGCAGGAGGAGAGTCCCAGTGTGGGCCTGGGAGGCTGCAGCCTACAGGGACTGCAGGACTGCTCAGAGGAGCAGACAGCAG